CCCGCCCTCCTCCTCCCTCCCCAAAGTGGACAGCTCGATGAGGTGGGTACTAGGGGGAGGGGTCGTATCAATCCACCTGGTAGTGGGGGTCGTACGAACGCGACCCAAATCTCCAGCTAATGATGTGCCTTGGTCTCCCATCGGATAATCTATTAGTTTTGCTTCAGTTTGCGTGTACTTCGGAAAAGGGTGACGTCTGTCTCACCATATTTGATTCGTTGTTAATGTCTTCGAGCCCATCGTCGTCCGTTATTCGCTGCCACATGACTTTCGGTTTCGGCACTCCACTCGCTCGGCACATTAGCTGAACGGGAGTGCCGGCCAATTCGAGCCGTGAAACTGTCGAGACAGCGATTGTCGGCGGGATAGCGGTGCGTGTCACATTGCATGACGACTTCCCTGAAATTAATAAATCTTTAAACAATAATGCAGGTCAGTACTTCCTCATAATGTTTTCAAGTATTGAAATTGAAGGAGCGAATCAAGTCAACAGAACTTTTGGTTGTTTTTTGGTATGTCGCTTCTGCAAGAATAATTTCAAAATTCGAGATAGATTAAGAATAATTTGAAAAAAAATTCTGGTCCATGATTCGGAACTTCTTACCACCTACCCTGTGGATTGGTGATGAATTCCTTTTAGCTTTTAAGTAGTGGGTGTTGTTCCAGAGAATTGCGCTCATACTTTGCGGCAGCGACCAATAGCGTGCACCAGCGTCAGCGACTATGAAAGCTATAGACATCGATCCACCTAGCGTGATCTAGCGTGCACCAGCGTCTACCGGCGCCTGCCAGCGTCTCGTGGGTTAGGGAAGTATAGGTCGATCTAGCGTCTGCCAGCGTCTACACCAGCGACCAGCAGCGTCCAGGAGTGCAAAGTATGGCGCGATGGGAGGGTAGCCAACAGCTCCTACCATACTCTCTCCATACGCTCAACCAGCAATCTGCTGTTGCTCGCTGGTGGACGCTGGCAGACGCTGGCAGACGCTAGATCGATATCTATACTTTCCTAGTCGCTGACGCTGCCGGACGCTCAGAACGCTGGTGGACGCTGGTGGCAAAGTATGGACGCTGCCTAACTAACTGACTTTGATACACGGTCTCACATCAAAGAATCGAACTAGGGTCTAATTTTATTTATTTCTGAGAGAACTTTTGCTCTTTCTTGTTTTTTATTGTTCAAATTTTAAATTTATTAGCATGGCTCTTGTGACATTGCCAATTGCCGCACATAAAATTAAAGAACAAATAGCTAAGAAAAAGCAAACATTAAAAAAACGACAGCAGAAATAAAGCAAAAAAAAAAGAAAAACGAAGCAAAAGCAAGACCTCATTTCACACAGTGCACAAGTATCGAAAAACCGATTTCCTGGAACAAAAGAATCGGATATCGGTATAGCTCTGCTCATTTTTAGGAAAGACATGCCGGACAGAAAAGGGTGAAAATTTGCGCCCAAACAATGTACGCGGTTGATTGGAAAACACAGCTAGAACTTCCAAAGCTCTCGGTCCTAGAAGCGCAGCCATAAAAGACTGACGTTATAGATCAATACGTTGTTAAGGATTTAGTAAACCATGGACCTTATTATGCGAGCCTATCCGAGAATAACGAAAGTCAACGTTCCAAAACTTGCTGCTACCCCTCATGGACAAGGAATTCTTTGCAAGAACAATCCATTTTCTATCAGCTTTGCTCCGCGATAATTTCGGGCCGAGATCAAGCGAGCTTATTTACTCAGGCATGCAATCATCCCGTGAATGAAGAAGTTTTCGTCAATACAAACAAAGCGAATTGTCGTCAGCAAACGAAGAGGACGTCATTGGATCAGCCTCATTCTCCCATCATTTGTGCACCACGTGAGTGGTTCTCTAAACTCGAAACGAACGGCTGGTTGAACATGAAATCTTGGAAAATTGGACTCATAGAAGTCCAAAGAATGGTGTCATTTAGAACGCTTATAGGCACATGCAGAAGCTTTGCCCTATTAGCCCTAATTCGTCGTTTTTCAGCCACCTGCGCTAAGTGAAAATTCGCTAAGTGAGTGATCCTCTCCCAGTCAGAAACGAGACACCTGGGAAACAGATTTTGCCGCTGCTTTTATAGCTCGAAAACTTTTCGCTTTTCAGCAACTGCAAACTCTTCAAATGGATTTAGACACGAGTCTTTTTGAGTAGATCTTCGACTTCAACATTTTCATAGTAGTTGGCTTGGTGGGGTCTGAACGGTGCTGAGCAGTCTCAGTCTTTGCGGCACAGGCGTCAGGGCTGGGTTTTTGTGCGGCAGGCACATCTGGTTGAAGTTTCGGGCAGCTCTGAAAACCTCTCTCTTTTTGGGCGTGTGGTACGGACCCCTTCGGCCCTCCGGCCACTGTTCCTTCATCATCGAAGTCGAGCGGAAACGGCCGTCGACGGTGGGCGGGCATATACGTGAAACACATGTAACAGGAAAATCACAAAAGGACTACACCACCTAGAAAGGCCAGAAAAAGTACCATCTTCCCTTCAACCAATGCAGTACAACCCCGCCCTTTCTAAAAATCCGTTGAAGCGAGAAAATCCAACTATCACGCATTTTTTTCCCAGACCAGCTGCGACCCTTCCTCTCCTGCGGCCGGCCAAATTCGAACCCCCCTATTGGGATTCCCCAACCAACGATGTGCCCGTTTTGCGCGAGGCATCACGTTTTCACCAACTGTTAAACAAGTAAGCGCAGGTTGGAAGACAGGCCGACGTCCTCTCACCTCTTCTGAATAGCCCCATTTCGCAGCTTTACAAGAGTTTACAGGCTTCTTTAACACATTCCGCATATACATGACACACATGGTGTGTCACGATCTTCAGAAGCTAAAATTTTCTTGTGTGGCGATTGCTGCGTAAATTCTTTGAGTTGTTACCCTGTAGCGGTACGAATTCCTGCATATGGTTAGGCCATGAAAAGATCCGGTAGTTTATTTGTAGAGCATTTCTCTGAAGTGTGGCCAGTTCATAAAACCATTATGCTCTAGTAATGCATTCACCCAGAATAGTTTGCTGGTAGACTGATCTAGTGAGGCCATTCAGTGTCCCGATCGTGATTATGATACACTCTCATAGCGCCAGTTCCATTTGGCGCCAGTGGGCGCCAGTTGGCGCCGCGGCTGTTTTCACCAGATCCATATCAGAAAACATGCTCTTGAGCAGTGATCAGGGATACTGATCACAAAAAACACATTCGTACTTCGAAGCTGGCACAATTTGGCGCCAGTTTGGCGAATATCTCTCACCGAAATCGATATAAGTGTGCATTCGGAGGGTAGAGAGGTCTCTAATCACAAGTATCTGCAACGGTGACGCCACGCGGTGCCACAAGGCGCCAGTTTAGCGCTATGACATTCTTCACCAAAACGATGTAAGCTAACGAATCAGGATAAATACACTCTAGTTCGCTGCGGACGGTTGGGCGTGTCAGGCAGTATGAGTGTGTCACCCCGTCAAAGCCGTTCTCTGCCTTCTTGTTGAAGCGCGCAAAAGTGGTAGAAAACGAGTAATACGAACGATATGATACAGTCATATCACTTGCTCGCTTTAACAACTGGTGGAGAACGGGTTTGGCACCGCGCCAAACTCATCCCGCCTGACACGCCCAACCGTCCGCAGCGAACCAAACTATACATGTTTAACATTCGTGTTTCGTTCCGATGAAAGTAGATGAGGATAAAAAAGGAATGTCATATTTGAGTGGCGATCACTGAATACCCCCGCCAATGCAAAGTTACATCAATTTGGCTAAGAACGAGTGGCGCCAAACTGGCGCCGGTGTCAAAAATGAGTACAATAGTCGTATTCGTGATTTGGATGTGAAGTAACGCCTATGTACAAATTTTCAGAGTGAAGTAATCAGTGAGAAAAAAATCGCGACTGAAACCTGCCCCGTGTGGCCGCGTGACACACCATGTGTGTCACGCCAGCCTCGCATCGAAAAAGGCCGCGGTCACACGTGAACGCCACGCGAAATAGGCATCGGTCCGGAACCTGTTAAAGTGAGACCTGTTACTTAGCGTGAAGCAGCAAAAGGAACTAGCTTAAAGGCAGTTGGCACGATGGTTTCCCACTCGGCCTAAAATGCTAGTAGGGCGCTATGTAGTGGGGAAATGGCGAAAGAACGGAGTGAAACGGTCAAAATCCGGCGAAGAAAAAGCCTCCGTTCTCAGTGACTTGAAAATCGATTTCGGACGAGTTTCCCGTACGCATCTTGCCAATCACCGCTACCGAAGATACGGCTGCATATGTGTACCCATATATGCATGCAGCATCACGGCCGCTTCATACCAATCCCTTTGCTTCATAATTTGCTCAGCAAATGAATGAATACGAGCGTCAGGAACGGTCGTCCGTTTGTGGGCGGGCGGGCGAGGAAGGCGTTTGGGACGGAATGTTGTTGCTCGATAGGGCGTTATAGGGGTACCCTCCTTGGAAAAGGCGCCACGGAGCGCCTGTCCGAGGTCACGGAATTCTGTTAAGCCAGTCGTATAAATCCTACACCTGTATAGCGATTTATCGTGCCAACTGCCTTTAAAGACACTCCCCGCGATCAAGTGGTCCTCAAAATGACTCCGTGCCTTTTGAACTGTTATACGCGTTCACAAAGAACATACCACTTTCGTCCCTCAAAACGGCGCGATAAAGAAGTTAGAGACATTTGCGCGTGGCAACAGTGGCGACATCATACTGTAGCTGGACGAGACAACGGCTCGCGAGCAGCTTCTATCCCTACACCCGCGCGGCACGTGTCGCGCGCGGCTCTTCTGGCACTTTGCCATCTTCGGTGATCCGCGCTTTCCATAGCGCAAACACTCTTGGACATAGAATTGAAGACGCTGAGGCTGTTTCAGGGTTCCATATGGTTCTTTGCAAGCGCGATTCTAATTAGGAGGATGTGAACAAAAGAGCAGCAAACCTTTTTTGATTTTCACTTGCAAAGAGTGGAAGGACGTGATCTGGGCAAGAGCAGGTGTCGCGTTTCCGAAGTGTCTCATGGCATAGAGAAGGGAAAAATTAAAAACGATTATGTAGTGTTTTTTAGAATGCTCACGCTGATGATATTTATAGATCGGAACCACTATTCCAGTTGTTAATTAGCACTCTTTCGGAAATCAGGTCAGTTTTACCATCGAGGTTCAAAAAAGGCTGAAAATTTTTCCCCAGTTCTTCAACCTCCGCACGCGAACATTGCATTGCTTGGCAGGAATTGCTTGGCGTAACGCCACGGTGCCACGGCTCAAGCTTTGCGCTCCAATCGCTATAGAGCACGCACGTGCCCGACGCACTGGTCCAAGACTGCTGAGGTGAAGTCTGTGTTCAAGGTGTTCCCGAGGTTTTTTTTTCGCTTCTTTTTCTACTGAGGAGCTACCTATGGGATACTGGTTCATGACGGAGCACCAACTACCC